TTCTTCTCAGAGTCAGCCATAGCTTGTTGTGATACACACAGTCAAAAGCCTTTGCATAGTCAATGAAGCACAGATAGACATTCTTCTGGTGTTCTTTGCTTTCTGCCAAGATCCATCTTACATTAGCTATAATATCCCTAGTACTGCGACTTCTTGGAAATCCAGCCTGCACATCTGGCAGTTCTCTGTTGACATTGTTCCAAACGTTTTCGGATAATTTTCAGCAGAATCTTGCTTGCATGTGATATCAATGGTATTGTTAATAATTTCCACACTCTGTTGGGTCACCTTTCTTTGGAATGGGAGCAAATATCGATCTCTTCCAGTAGGTAGATTAATAAAATGGAAAGCACTTCTTTAAATAACATGTTGCAAATATTCAGAGTTTATACACTAGACAGGAAAGAAAGGAAGTCTAAGATCTTTCTTCTTGTCTTTGTCTCTGATTTTAGGCTAACTCAACATTTGAAGAATTGGAGCGCATTCAGAAGTTGGTTAAGGCCTGGGAAGAAGTCGGGCCCCAGATCTGGTACTTCTTTGACAAGAGCACACAGATGGCCATGATCAGAGTACGGAAGGTCTTAAAGGAGGAATCAGGGAGGGGAAAGGAGGGGCCAGAACGTTTAATTTCTTTCTTTTCTCCAAGAAATGGTTAATCACAACTTGCTTACATTACAAGAAAAAAATAAAAGTAAATAAATAAATTGGAGCTAATGTGTACTCAGGAATGTATTTAGAAAACATGAAAGCTACAAAAAACCCCAAAAACAAACAAGTAGAATCTATTACCAAATGGAATCACTCTGAGTGGGGACAGTTTCTTGGGTTTATGGAAAAGATCTAAAAATTGTGCCACAAAGACCAGAGACTTCTTGAAGTCTTCTCCCTTTATGAATTTCCTTGAGGGCTTTATGTTGAAAAGTACATCTCTGCATTGTTATCCATACAGGTGCTTAAAGCTGGATAGTTGTCTTATTCTCAACTCTGCAGAGCCAGGCAATAACAATCCTATACTATCAGGACAATTAAGAGGGGAAAATTGATATATGAGAAAGAAAGTCATAAAACCACCCCCCAACACACACACACACCCTCTCTCCATTATAGAGATGCCTATATTTGGAGAAACGAGATGTGGATAGGTCTGCCTTGTAATGGAAGAAAAAAAAAACTCGCTTTGTAAGGAGCCTTAAAGTTTCTGTTTATAATAGTTTATAGTGGGAACTAGTTCAAGATCCTGTGAATTTTCTAGATGCTGTGACTCTGTTGCTTCTTCCCAAGGACACCCTGGAGAACCCCACTGTGAAAGACGTCTTGAACAGACAGCTCCATGAAGAAGGCATCACTGTCGAGGCTGTGCTAAACTTCCTCTCGAACAGTCCTCGGGAGAGCCAGACTGATGACATGACCCATTTTGACTGGAGGGACATATTCAACATCACCGATCGCACCCTACGCCTGGTTAATCAATACCTGGAGGTAAGAGGTAGCACACCACCTGAGGGCCACAGTGGGCTCCTTGAAGACAGACCATAGTTTAGCCAGAAATCCTTTAGGAAATCAAGTGCTTTTGATTTTAAGCTTTCCTTTTCCCAGTGAAGAGTACGAAGCAGAAATGGCTCCTATTCCACAACTAAACGAGTTCTCTCTGCACATATTCCATTTTCTCACAACTGTCTAAGGAGTTCTCACAGTTCATTGGTTAAGTGTTTGCCTACTAACCAAAAGGTTAGTAGTTTGGACCCATCAGCCACTCTGTGGGAGAATGATGTAGCAGTTTTCTGGCCCTGGAACCCTGTGGTTCTGCTATGTTCTGTCAGATTGCTCTGAATGAGAACCAACTACTGGCAGTGTGTTTGGTTTTTTAACTCTCATGGCTTCTCCACCTTGCTTGTTACTGTCATTGTTAGGTATCATAAAGCCGGCCCTAGCGCATAGTGACATTATACATAACAGAATGAAATATTGCCCAGTCCTGCCCAATTTTCATCATCATTGATATGTTTGAGTCACTTGTTGAGATCACTGCGTAGGGCCTTCCCCCCTAAGCGGCTCATCCTCCAGCACTTTAGGACAATATTCTGTTGTGATCCAAATCTTTCCATTGGCAGATTTTTCAGAAGTAAATCATCAGACCATTTACCCAGTCTGTCTTTGTCTGGAAGCTCCACTGAAACCTGTTCACTATGCTGGCATAGCTTCCAGCATCACAGCAATTTGCAAGCCCAACAAACTGACAGAGAAGTGTTGGATGTTCCCTTATTATTGATGTTGAGCCCACTTGAACTTACAGTGATCTTATGTACAATAGATCAAAGTCTAATGCTTGTTTAAACACAGTTTCTACTGTGCTTAATCCTATTGTTTCACTTATGTATCAGTCTGTCTCATTGAGGGTCTCCCTTTCCTTTAGTCACTCTTCACCTTTGCACCCATGGTGTCTGTTGCCAATGACTGGCCTCTCCTGATAATAGAGCAAAGTATGTGAGATGAAGTTTCATCATCCTTGCCTCTAAGGAGCACTGTGGATCCACCTCTTCTGTTTTCAAAAATCAGATTTGTTCTTTGGAAGTCCATGGTATAGTCAAGACTCTTTGCCAACACAAGGATTCAAAGACATCATTTCTTTAATCTTCCTTTTTCATTTTCCAGCTTTCACTAGCATATAAATCAAAAGAAAATACTGTAGCTAGAGTCAATTGCACCTTAGTCTTTAATGGACATCTTTAGTCTCCTAGCATTTTATTAATTTGTGTGTGTGCTCTCCCTTCACACCTGAAAGAATCACTTTCAACATAAAATCAGTAACCACTTATGAATAAGCATTTTAAAGAGGTTCTTGGAGGCAAATTTACCCAATAATATATATATATCGATTTCTTAACTGCTGGTTCCATAAGTATTTGGATTTTGGATTGTGGATAAAAAAGAATGACATCACTGACAACTGTAATGTTTTCTCCATCTATTGGTCCAGTGGTGAAGATTTTTTAAATGTTAATGTGTAATCCCTATGAATTTGCAGAAACAATGAAAATTATACAAATGTTCAGGTCTTTCATTCATAGGGTTGCTATGAGTCACCTGTGACTTGACAGCAATTAACAACAACAACCTAAAATTCAGTTGGCCTAGTGGACAGAAAGTGAGGCACTCAGGTCTGGTTTTAATTGTTTATGGCCAAACATTCTTCCAAGTGGTATAGCACTGATCTGTCCATTTACTCTACAGAGATAACTTGTGATAGCTGTGATGCTAAACACTGTGATGCTGATGTGTCAAAATGTGATAATGATTACTCATGGTGGACGGTGTTTGGTGGAGTTCCCTGATCAAAATAAGCTTGGAAAGAGGAGTGGCATCCACTTCCGAAATAGCTTGCCTCCGGACACCCTATGAACTTGGAGAAATGATGAAAATTATATACAAATGTGTAGGTCTTTCATTCATAGGGTTGCTATGAGTCGCCTACAACTCGACAGCAGTTAACAACACCAACAATGTGTAACGCACATTGATAGTGTTTGATCTGCATAACATATTTTGTTGCTGGGTGTTTTTTTCTAATCCTGATGTCACATTTTTCTTCATATAATCCAGCTTCTTCGATTATTTGCTCTGTGTACAGAATTAGATGCTGAAGTTGAGATGTGTTGTTGTTATTGTTATGTGCTGTTGAGTCACCTGTGATTCATAGAGGCCCTATGTACAACATCCCTAAACCATGCTCTATCCTGTGTCAGTCTTACTGTCTCTGATACACCTACCCCCATTATCCCAGTCACTGAATCAATCCATCTCGTTGAGTGCCTTCTTCTCTTGCACTGTCCCTCCAATCTTACAAGTATGATGTCCCTCTGTAAGGACCCCTCCTTACAACATGCCCAAACTATTTCAGACAAAGCTTCAGAATTCTTGCATCCAAAGAGCAGCTTGGTTTCACTCTCTCCTCATAGTCCATTGTATATTCAGTACTACTCTTCAGCACCACAGCTCAAAGACATCATCAATTCTTTTTATATCATCCCTAGTCACTGTCCAACTTTGTGATACATAGCAAGTAATTGTGAAGACCGTGGCCTGGATCAGGTGCACTTTAGTCTCCAGACTCATTTTGTTGATCTTCAATACTCTGCAGAGATCCCTGACAACGGTCCCACCCAAGTCTCAGCCAAAACAGAAAACACACCTTTGTATAATCCAGATGCTCCACTCATCTTTTCAAACTTTAAAGCAGCCTCAAACTGGCAACCAAATGCCTTTTTAAATACAAGGCTAAATCCAGTTGTTGTTGTTGTTGTTGTTAATTGCCCTCGAGTTCAGTACCACTCATAGTGACTCTATGAACAAAAGGCCCGAAGCTCATCTACAAAGTTCATAGAGTTTCCAGAGGCATGTTATTTAGGAAGTAGATACCAATCCTTCTTCCAAACCTGTCATAGTATGTTACTGTTTTTATGTGCCATTGAGTTGCCTCTGATGTATAGTGATCCTATGTACAGCAGCCCTGAACCCTTCCCTGTCTTGAGCCAGTTTCACAAACTCCGACACATCAATCCCTATCACCCCAGTTACTATATCAATTCATCTTATCCTGGGTCTCCCTCTCTCGTGCTGTCCGTCCATCGTTCTGAGCATGATGTCCTTCTCCAAGGACCAATCTCTTCTGGCCACATGCCCAAAGTAAGTGAGGCAGAGATTCCGAATCCTCACCTCCAAGGACTTGGTTTCACACTCTCCAGGACAGACCTGTTTGTTTTCTTGGACATCCATGGTATGTTCAAGACTCTTCTCCAGCACCCCAACTTGAAGGCATCTATTCTTCTCTGTCATCCTTAGTCATTGTCCAAATCTCTGAAGCATAACAAGAAGACCATGGCCTGAAGTAGACACACCTTGTATCTAGACTGACATCATTGCTCTTAAGCACTCTGGAGAGGTCCATGACAGCAGATTTTCCCAATGCAATTCATCTTTTGATTTCCTGACTGCTGGTGTTAAGAGTGTTGACTATGGATCCAAGCAAGCTGTAATTGTTAACAACCTCAATCTCTTCTACATCTAATATGGTACTACCAGTTGGCCCAGTGGTGAGAATCTTTGTCCTCTTGATGTTGAGCTTCAGTGCATATTGAAGACTACAGTCCTTGACCTTTTGAAGCAAGAGCTTCAGGTTCTCCTCAGTTTCAGCAAGCAAGGTTGTGTCATCTGCATATCGTAGGTTGTTGATGAGTCTTCCTCCAATCCTGATGTCACACTCCTCCTCATAAAGCCCTGCTTCCCGAAAAGATCTGTTCTGCTTATAGATTGAAGAGGTACGGGACAGGATGCATCCCTGATGCACTCCTTTCCTGATTTTGAACCATGCAGTGTTTCCTTCCTCTGTTCTGAGGACTGCTTCTTGGTCCAAGTATAGGTTTCATATAAGCACGATCAAGTGTTCTGAGATTCCTATTTTCCTCAAGGTTAGCCCCAGTTTCTTGTGATCCACACAGTCAAAAGCCTTTGCATAGTCAATGAAACACAGATAGACATTTTTCTGGTATATAAGCGTCATTCTTAAGATGATGTTGTTGTTGTTAAATGCCGTCAAGTCGCAGGCGACTCATAGTGACCCTATGAGCGAAAGTCCTCAACAATTGTGTGACTTTCATCCTCTCCCTAGGTTCATAGGGTTTCTGGAGGCAAGCTATTATGGAAGTGGATGCCACTCCTGCTTCCAAACTTGTTCTAATCAAGGAGCTCCACCAAACACTGTCTGCCATGTGTAACCATTAATGGATTTGACACATCAGTGGCACAGTGTTCAGCTTCACAGCAACCACACGTTACCTCTGTACGGCAAGTGGACACACCAGGGCTATACGACCTAGAAGAATGTTTGAACAAAAACAATGATATTGTTCAATAATTTTCACACTCTTGTCAAGTCACCTTTTTTTGGAATGGGAATTAAATATGGATCTCTTCCAGTCAGTTGGCCAAGTAGTTGTCGTCAAGTTTTCTTGACACAACTTGGTGAGCACATGCAGGACAGCATCTCTTTGCTGAAACATGTCAATTCATATTCCATTGATTTCTGGGGGTTTATTTTTTTCCAAATCCTTCATCAAGAATTTCTTTTTTTAAAATTTAAATTTATTATTAATTTCAGTAAAAATTTACAGGCACTTTGGTTTCCATTCATTCATTGTTGCACTTTTCTCTCCTCCCAACCCTCCCCCCCTAGGTAGTACACTACCCTCTTGGAAAAGTAAAAGAAAAATTCTTTCATTGTTTTACAAACCCTCCCCCAGGTCCACTCCACCATGTAGCCTTTGCTCTAGACTCCTATCATGACAAAAATACCTAATCATATATCCCTTTTAAACAGTTTTCTCTCTCCTCTGTTTCAATGCAGTATACATTATTTATCACATCTTTCTCAGTCCCTTCCCAACCCTGATGTCAGTTTCGTTTTACAACAGTGGCACTATGCA